AGGACAGGTGAGACTAGAGGACAGGTGAGACTGAAGCAGAGGGACTGTGTCATCACCTGTTACCTGATTACAGAAACTGATTTAACGAATGCTGCATTAGCGCAGCTGAAGCGTCATCTGACACCAGGTGAAAAACAAAACCATAAAAGGATTTCCTTTGTACCGCTGTCATAGTCGCAGTAGATTCCGATTCGCTGAGGCAGCGGCCAATCCAGTGCCTTCGCTCGGTTGTTGTGCTTGGCGGCCAGAGAACTCTGCAGCCATTGGGTAGCGTAAAGACACCACGAACCAGCGCTCTTCCCCAATTGGTCAAAGCGGCCCAAGCTGGCTCGATAGGCCACGCCCACACTGAATGATTTCCAGTCAGCCAGGGGGCGGAGCTCCCAGTAATAAGAACCGCCAATCATCTCCTGGTCACCTAGGAGACGGAAGAAGAAAAAAGGTTCTTCAGCATCTGATTAATAACCGATAAACAAAACAACTAATACTGTGGCTTCAAGGCGTGACTTCAACATTAAAAGCATCGAGGAAAAAACATTTTTCATATGGAATATTAATCCTCATACATACACCTATGATGTCATATATAGTTTTGTCGGTGTGTAGTATCAGTGCAGTAGGACTCAGAGGGACGTACCCAGCACTGTGTACGACTCTCCAGCGAATCGGTCGCGTCCTGCCCGACTCGCTGCCGTCTTATTGGGCGACGGCGTGGCGCTTCTGCTGCTGAAACAAACACAAACCAGTTAAACTCAGTTTGAGTCTCCGAGAAGAAACGAGGAGGAACGACGACGTGAAACAGCCAATGAGGTCGAGTCAAAGCGGTGATGCAGCAGAGAGATGAAAAACATGAATCAAACTAAAACTACAACTTTCACTGATTACATGATAAAAAACAGACTCTACAGTGAGATGTTAGAAAACGCATAACAATGTGCTTAGAAACTGCTTGGACGTGTGTTTTTAGCACAATAAATACAAGAACTGCTACGAAGATGATATTTTACAGCTTTACTTGAAGGTTGACGTGATTTTCTTTAAATTCGATGTAATATCTTGAAACCTTTAAGTGCTATTTAACATAAAGACACTTGTATGTTTGAGAAAACAGGTGATTTACTTTTTTAAAAAATGTGCTCGAAGACAAAAACTGAAAGTAAGAAAATGTTAGTAAAGCTGTTAAAAAATTCAAACATGGAGATTTGATTAAAAACTGTAACTAAAACGCTGATGTGATGTCAGCAGTGATGTCAGCAGTGATTGGCTGCATGGAGTGAGTGATGGTGGATGAAGAAAGTGATTGGCGGTTGCTCGGCAACCAGTCAGCCATGACAGTCTCTACCTGAGTGAGTCGAAGAGGACGAAGTACGGAGACTGAGGAGGGACAAAAAGGTCAAAACAGCTGAAGGTTATTGTTGTCAGATGTTTGTGACCTGTGCAGCAGATCAAAGGTTTACCGCCATGTGGTGGAATATGTTTCTACATACGGTCACTGAGTGAGCGTCTGATTGGTCTCTAACGTCACTCATTCTGTCAATATGTCTGAAACAGGTAAATATGCGAAGAGAAATTTTTTAAACGGATGACATCATCACCTGCTTCTGTTCTCTTTGGCTCTGAGTCGGGGGTCGTGACCTTTGACGCCCTGAGGCTCCCAGGTCACCGTGTCGCCCTGAACCTTCAGCTCAGCGTGAGCCGTCGCTGCGTCGAAGCCGAAGTTATACGCTGCGATTAAACACAAAGAAGAAGAACAACGCTGAAGTGGTCACTTCATTTACAGAGCCTTTGTTTGGTTTGAGTGAGACTTCCTGTTTTCGGCCATCTTCGCCTGGCGTCCATCCACTCACGACTCACTCGTTCATGTGCTCACCTCTGGTTTCCATGGCGACGGGCTCTGAGAACTCGCCAGCGGCTGCTTTGTTTCTGGCTCGAACCCGAATGATGACAAACGGCGAATCAAACTTCAGACCTGAAACATAGAAAAACCTAGAACCAACACCTAGAACCAACGTGTAGAACCAACGTGTAGAACCAACGTCTAGAACCAACGTCTAGAACCAACACCTAGAACCAACATCTAGAACCAACGTCTAGAACCAAAGTCTAGAACCAACGCCTAGAACCAACGTCTAGAAGAAGAGAAGAGAAGCCCTCACCTGTGACCTCTGACCCTCACCTGAGATGGTGACCCGTGTCTCTCTGATGTCACTCATCTTTTCCCAGCATGCCTCTCCTGTGGCTCTCAGCGAGCTGTCGCGGTTCGATTTCCGGTATTCAAGTTCGTAGCGTTCGATTGGTCCGCTGCCGTCCCCGCTGCTGTCTGCTTCACTGAGCGGCCGCCAGGCGACTGTGATGGCGTTGTCACGGACGACGCAGCTGGACACGTCGATCTCTGGCGCTCTGGGCACTGTAACACAGGCACTGTGAGTTGTCATAGAAACCACAGGTGTGACAAAAGGTGAGTACAACTGAAACAAAAATTATACTGGAAAAAAAGAAGAAGTTAGAATAGAAACGGTGACGTCAGCCAGCGAAATAAAACATAAATAATAGTGAAACTTTATATGTATATTATATATGAAACCGATGGTTCAGACTTGCTCCTTTTCTACATGTTGAGTGTTTACAGTTTATTGGTGCTTCTACAGTGACGATAAAAAGGTTTCACCCCCC